TGGAGCCTCCTCTTTTTCACCCAAAGGATAAATCAACAGCCACACGAAGTCTTGTACATTAAGCACTAGTTGTGTTCAGCCAAGGTCTGTGGCTTTGGGTTGCTGTAAGGATCATTTAACAGGTGGAGGGAGCAGTTTACCCATTAACCAGACTGTTCACCATGAAGACTTTTCCTTCTTTGCTTATTCGAAGTGTAACAAAGGGCTTCTTTCTAGTCAAAGCTGAAAGGCATCTTCGTTTCCCATGTGTTCATGGAGACGGAGCTACGGAGACTCCAACCCCAAAGGAGCTGGTGTCTAACAGTCCCCACAGCGGTCCAGAGCGCACCCTGACCCTGGTCCAGAGTCAGAGGCCAGAACTGCCCCGCCGACCTTAGGCCAGTCACACTCCCTCTTCAATCCTTCCTGACTATGCCACACAGCGGGACTCAGGAGTGGGCTTAGCACCTCAAGTAACTCAAGAGTCAGGAGTTCTGACATAGAAGAATGGTCCCATCCTACACTGGAAGGTCTTCAAGGGAAGGAAATCCTTTCACTCAGGTATAACTCCACCTATGGTATCCCTCACCTACAGAGCATGAATTCTAGCAATGTTTATAAAGTGAGGAAATGCACCTAAAACCCTGCCATGTGTGATCTGCACTTTTGGGTTAACCAATGACCCTGCCCATACAAAATACAGATCCTACTGTAAAATGTCATGTCTCTAGCACTTTGGGCTCCTGAAAAATTATTGGGTACTACCTAGAGGAGGACATACCATAGGAAGCATAAAAAAGGAAGGGGCAAGTTCAGACAAACATGATTTTTACCATTATCATAGAAAACATTTGTCCATTATATGCTATGTGCCAGGCACTATGCAATCATTATGTCATTTGATGCCTATAAAGATCACCCTTTACAGATAAAGCAGCTGAGGTTGAGAGAGCTCACTCGGCATCACAGTGTCACACAGGATGGGAGACTGAGGCTGGAGAGCAACCCAGTCCGGGTGGAGCCCAGAGCATGCACTCTGATTCCACTTAGACACAGTCTCTTCAGGAAACTCAGAAACTCAGCCTCTCTCTATTTTCTATTTGTTATTTTTTTTTTATTCTTTAGGTGGGAAAAGAAAGGCCCAGGAAGGAAAATGACTTGCCCAGCCTTGCTGTGACTCAGTGTCAGAGCCCAGGCCAAGGCACTTCTGTGTCTTACCCATGTGGCGTCTGACTCTGGCTGCAGAGAAAGGCAGGGAGATGGAGTAGCCAGGGGAAACGAGCTATAGGGGTTTGGAGAGGTGGCTGGAAACCAGCTGATGGACACAATGTGAGTGGCTGCTTTCTTTTCACTCCAGCATCATTCAGTGGCCACACTGCCTCCTCCACGATCATTTCCAGACCTACAGTGGGCCAGTGCTACCTACTCCTACCACAGCCTGGCTCCCTCAGAAATGCCTAGCATACTGCAGCCCTAGGCTGCTGTGAAGCTTTAAAAGGGCCGGTGTTGGGGTCTGGAGACAGGGTGAAGAAACTGGAGACTCGGAGGAAACCAGCTCTAATGCTCTGGGGCAGGGATGACTAGGAGAAGAGCTTGCAGCAGAGAAGACTGAGCACCCCTGCCTGTTGGCCCTCTCCTCCCTGGCACCCCCCACCAGGGACCACATTCCTCACCATCACAGCCTCCATGGCACCACCTGGCCTGGCCTGGCCCTGTCACCTCTCCTCAGCATTGCCCACTGAACTGCCCCTTAATTTCAGCCCCTGCCACACTAGTTCTCACTCATTCCTCAGGAAAATGGGCTACGCTTGCTCATTCTTCCAGCCTTTGGAGGAGCTGGGCCTTCACCTGACATGTGCTCTGTCTCACTCCCCTCCCTGAATCCCAGTCCTTCACATTCACTTTATGCACCAGATCCCTAAGGATTAGATTCAAATGTCACTTCTTCCTCAGGGAAGCCTTCCCTGACTCCACAAGGCTCCCTGTCCCACTTTCAACCCACTGGCCCAGTCTTCTCTTAGTACTTTGCACAGTGTGTCATTACTTATTTGTGTGATTTTTTCCCTTAATATCCATCTTGTCCACAAGTCTGTAAACTCCATAAAGATAAAGACCATGTCCACTTGTCGTATTCTTCACTTCTCAGGGCATGAATGGAGCATTTGGCACACAGTAGTTGCCCAGAATTACTTAATGAATGAGTGAATGACTAGCGATTCAAGAGCTCCAGGGCTCCTGCAAGGAGAGCAGTGCCATCTACTGGCGCTTGCACACTCTTGGGCTTCTCCGATAACATCCCAGCACTGGCCTCAGAAAGGCCTCGCTGGATTTCCAAAGAATTAACTATTTTGATGATGCTGAGGGAAGCTGGCATAGAATGCAGACCTGGGGGAATCTGACTCCTAAGCAGAGAGGTAAGGAACCATCAGTCCTCTTGTTACCACATGTGACAAGAATGCATCACAAGTCCTGTGACTTAGCTAGCATCATGCCACACGACAGATGAGGAGAGTGTGGCCCAGAAGGACAGTCAGTCCTTGGAGCAAGTTCACAGAGCAGCAAACGGCCTTACTCACCAAGTCCTGGGGAGCTCAGCCCTAAAGAGTTGTCTATGCTGCTTATGCGTCCCCACTGACACGACACTGGTCAGACCACACTTGGCATTCTGCAGAAGCCACAACAGCCTCCTCACAGGTGTTCTTGCTTCCGTGATTATGTTTCCACAGCGGACTCTCATCCTGAGGCCAGACGTGCAGATATACATATACCTACTTGGATTTTGTTGTTGTTTGTTTGACCTCTGATGCACAGAATTAGGCTATTTGTGGTGCTTGTTCATGTCCCAAGCTCACTGTTGCCCCAGGCATGCTTGGGCTTTATGTATTCATCCAGTTAGTATTAGTTAGCTAGTTTTTATGCTTTCATAAACTCCCACAAATTGGCCACGCCAAATGCCAGCTGGGAACTTGATACCTACATGTAACAGACGTTCCCTCACGCCATCCCAGTGCCTCCTCTGACTCCAGATTACCACTTCCCGAATCCTAGGTGCATTATTTCCGTGATTCCCTGTTTTAAATAGCTTAGTGCACCTGTATTTATTCCTAAGAGGTAATGTGTTTGGTATGTTGTGTGTGTCTGTTTTAACTTAAGTAGGGGGAAGGGTCCCTTCTACATAAAATGTATCTTTGGGACTTGTTTTCTTCATTTAGTATTATGTTCATTCATCTCACAGTAAGTGTCACTATAGTTCATTTTGTCTAGCATAGAGTATTCCATCGTACACTTATTTAACTGCTCTCCCACTGATGGTCATCTGAGTTGTTTCCAGAGAGCTCCTTTTGCACCCCAAATATAATCCTATCAGCCTCCTGCTAAGCGTGTATCTTAAGCATTGGGACTTGTTTTCTTCATTTAGTATTATGTTCATTCATCTCACAGTAAGTGTCACTATAGTTCATTTTGTCTAGCATAGAGTATTCCATCGTACACTTATTTAACTGCTCTCCCACTGATGGTCATCTGAGTTGTTTCCAGAGAGCTCCTTTTGCACCCCAAATATAATCCTATCAGCCTCCTGCTAAGCGTGTATCTTAAGCATCTCACTGCCATCCAGATAGGGTCCAAACTCCATACCCACTTTCCCATATCCTGTATGGTCAGGCTCCTTCTGACTCCTCTGGTCTCACCTGTGCTTTCCCTCTAACTACTCATCTAAGTCATGGGGAATTTCTTTCAGTCTTTGTATAGATCATGCCCTTCCCTGCCTCGGGCTGTCTCTCTGACACTCTCCCCACATCCTTACTCTCATTCCCTGTCTGTGCTCTGTGAAACCCTACGTGACCACTCATCACCCTCCACTCAGTACAACAGGATGCAATGGGAGGGGTCCATAATCTACAGCATCCTGCTGGATTTGGTCAGGGGTCTAACAGATTATCTTCTTTGGAGGCCCAGGGCTGTCTAGGAGTTGCTGCAGAGGGAAGACTGGGGACCAAGTGGAGATGCTTTATCTACCATCCTCTTCCTAACTGAAGGAGTGGCATCACTATTCCTGGTTTTATGGGTTGGGGTTCCTGAAAGAATGCATCTGGAAAAAGTGTTTTCATGAATACAAGTTTGCAAACCATACATTGAATTATTTATATTGTCCCCCCAAGCCCTGACATGCTGCAATTGAAAATGATAGATACCAAAAGAGGAAAAAGAGATATGATTTCAAGATTAAGCATGTAGGCTCTGCAGCAGACCAAGTTTGAGCAAATCACTAAACATCTTCAAGGTTCCCTCACTTGTAAAGTGGGCATGACACTAGGGGGAACCGTTTTGATAAATAAAAAAATGATCAAATATTAGCAATTTCGTATGAAGAAAACCAATATTTACAAATAAATCATAGATCTAGAGGGCAGATTAAAGAGGTGATCCAAGTACTGGGGCAGAGACTCTTATACCCACATCTTCTCCTAGGCAAACAGAGAGACACATCTCCTTGTCTCCATTTAAAGATGTGTGTGCCCAGTGGTTGAGTTCTAGCCAATGGAATGGGAGCTGAAATGAGATCTGCCACCATTTAAAGATGTGTGCGCCCAGTGGTTGAGTTCTAGCCAATGGAATGGGAGCTGAAATGAGATCTGCCACTTTCAGGCTTGGCCCATTTTCACTTCTCCATGTGCCTTCTTCTTCCACAGCAACCATGCAAGCATCAGGTTGATGTAGCACAAGATGGAACTATCTGGGTCTCTGAATCACTTCTCAGAGTAAAGCCACCCATCAATCAAAAACATTTACTTGGGACTCTGACTCAAGCCATGACGTCTATTGTACTGAATTACGGTGATTTGAAGATCTATTGGTTATAGCAACTTTATGTGTACTTAAAACATGGTAAGGTACCAATAAATGCTAGTTATCACTGTGATGACAATGATGACATCCTGATAGACTTCGGGTTCTCCAGAGCAGGAGGTAGGAGGGTTGGCACTTAGATTTGACTTAGTGGTCATGTCAGGGGAGCTCACCTCTTTGGTGCCATTGTCTTGGATGAGGGTGTAAAGTGGTACCACACGGTTGATTTCCAGCAGCACTGGTGTGGGGCTCAGCTGCTCCTTGCCTGGCCGGCGGCAAAGGTGGCAGGTAGAGGGACAGCGGCCTTTCTCTTCACAGCGGATCTCCACACCTGAGATGAGCTGGTCATCCGACAGCATCTGGGCTGTCAGCAGACCTGAGAGGTAGGTGATGAAGGGCATGGACTTGAGTTCCTTCTTGCTGCCCAGCTCTGTGGTCTCTGGAGAGGGAGAGAAAAATTCAGTATTGTTCAAAAGGTCAGATTCTTGAACCTGTAAATTGTCCAATGTGCCAAGGAGGTGGTTATTCCTTTTGCAATGGAAGGGATAAAAGATGGTAGAGTGGGGTGTTCCTGATGCCTTGGAAAGAGCACTACCCCGAGGATTCAGACACCAGAGTGAGGTCTCGTTTTACCATTTACATTAAATAGCCCCTTGCTTTTTTCTGGGCCTCGCTTCCTCCACCCTTAAAGTTGGCAGATTGGACTGGAGGAGCCTCCAAGGACCCCTGCAAGATGTAAATATTCAAGGATAGTTTTCCCAACAGGAAATGTCTCCTGTCTACTGTCAGTTTACACAAATTCTATATGTCTTTTAAAAAGTTGCTCCAGTCTTATAGTTTCCATAAAGTCCCACATAATGGGGGAAACAAATTTTGGAGTCAGGTTAATTTCATTATAGATCTTAATTCTGCTTGATAATAGCTATGCAACCTTAGGAAACTCTCTTATGTCAAAGAGCCTATAGAGATGAATCCTGTAAAAATGGACCTAATAATTCTAACAGAAATACTTATGAGTGGTAAATAAGATAGAAGGAGGTGGACCTATCTGGAAAAGCAATTATTCCCCCTTGCTTTCCATGCTCATCTGCATCCTTGTTCAAACTTTTTTTCTTGCCTTTTTCTTCATATGCACACTGATTGACTCATTCTGGATGCTCCATTCTGTATGATCTCTCATGATCCATAAAACTAGCATTTCCTATCTTTGTACCTTTGCTCACCTGTCCTACTTGTCCGCTCCTCTGCCTCTCTAAATCTTTACCACCCAACAATTCTCCATTCCAATGTGTCCCTCTTCAGGAAGTCTTTCCTCCTTGCTTTAGCCCTTCTCTGAATAAACATGTCTACTTATAAGAGTTTATCTTGTTAAGCTCATTTTCTTGTTGCATTTTCTGCTGACCTCTTCAACCGTGTAAGCAGCTCTTGAAGATGAGAGGCTGCATCTCCCACTCTGCACCCCTGCCCTTCAGCACCTGGCATGGTGCTAGGGATGCATTTGAGACTTAATTAAAGAACTCCAAATGGTTAGAAAGACATTCATGATCTAGGCTAGAGCTGCCAGAATTCTTCTGAGGAGTTCTAGAGATCCCAAGAACCATCTCAGTAGCTGCTTGCAGAGAGCAAGAGGAAAACCAAGCAGACAGACTCTAAACCTGCATCTCAGCTTCATATAGAGCAGTTTCACTTGTACCTTTTTTATTGGCTGGCCTTCTATATAATATTTCATAAGTAGAGGGGTCTACAACTATGTCCAAAGCTTGAAGAAACAAGGCAGTTTGTAACCCAGAAGGTTCCACTGATATCATAGAGCATATGAATGGTGTCCTCAAAGTTGCGCAATATACAGTCTGAGTAGCAAAACAGGGGATCCCTGTAGTAAGGGGCAGAGCACTGTCTAGACGGCAGCTTCTTCTAAGCCTGATGAAGTCAAGGAAAGCTCCTGCCTCAGTAGAAACAGGATCCCTGGGCAGAAGGCCTGGGAGAAAAAGGAGGGCTGCTTTCTGCGCTTGCGATAGGCTTGCAATGACATGCAGCTGATCTGGAAATGCGCTTGCCAATTTCAAATACAAATAACTGCAGCCTTCATTCATCCCTCTCTGGGCCCTCAGGCCTGGGATCTGGGCTCCACCTTTTCTGTCTGGCTGTCAGCAAATGCTTATGAGCATCAGATCAAAGGCTCTGGGGGAAGAAGACAAGGCGAATTCCAGCTAACCAATCCTTCAGAGGGATTAAAGAAGGGTAGTTACTAAGATAAACAAAACAAAACTGTGAAGAAGGCATTACAGCAGCTGGGGACACTGAGACAGTCTTATATACAGACACATTGAAAGAAGATGAGGATGATTTTTGGAAATGCAGGCCAGAAGGATAGTTTTGGAGAAGGGTGACTTCAAACTTGGGAGAGAAGAACCGTTCAGGGGAGGAAGTCGGGGGGAATCAGAGCTGCAGGGCATTAGAGAGCAGTTAGCCTACACGCTGGCCAAGAGGTCAGTAAACTATGGGTCCATGGGTGAAATGGGTCCCTCTGCCCGTTTCATAAATAGAGTTTCATTGGAACACAGCCACCCTCCTTCATTTATGTATCATGTACAGCTACAATGGCAGAACTGAGTAGCTGCAACAAAGATCCAATGGCCCACAAAGCCTAAAATATTTATTATATGATCCTTTACAGAAAAAGTTTGAAAACCTTTATCCTAACCCCATTACAGATGGGGAAACTGAGTCTCAGAGAGAAGATTCACATATAATCACACAGGAAGGTGGCGGTATGATGGATTAGTTGACGTGAAAACTTTGGAGTCAATTAGGCCATTGATACACTTGGATAGTACATTTCCAAGAAGAAAAAAACAGAGTTGGCCCTCCTTTCTCTACAAAACATCTTTCAAAAACTATTGAAAAAGTACACTTTCAAAATGCTAATATGGTACAACCCTCCCATTTTAAGCAAGGGGAGATTGTGTCCCAAAAGAAGGAAAATGACTTGCTAAGGTCACACAGTGACACATAGTTATCCTTTCAGCATAGGACTCATTCTTCTGTTAACCAATTAATCATTAAACTACTATTTTTATCTCATATTTTAAAACATAATTGTCCTGCCCCTCATAGCACCTTGCCACATATACATAATTTAGTTGGGAAGGAATGTAACATGGTGCTGGGAATAAAAATTCCCTCGATCAAACAAACAAACATTCCTAGCTGTTGGGTTAAAAATACCAGTAGCCATTTAACAATAAAACAAACTACAGATCTTTGCTGGTTGGCTTTCATCCAATAAATGTTTTTTTTTTTCAGTCTATCAGTCCAAAAAGCAGGGTTAAGAGTTCATGGTCTGGGCTGAAAAGTGCACTGCAGTGGCGGTATAGAATTCACACTTGAACTTAATGGCTGGTTTTGCAAAAGGAGGGAAGCTGGGTATCATCTGGCTCAACCCTACCACTTACCAAGTGAGGAGCCCAAGGCCTAAATGGAGACTTACTCTAAGTCCCAGGCACATTTATTAACAATGATTCTTTTCATATCAGTTGTGTCATACCCAAGTTTCGATCTGAATGAGAGTTAAAACAGGGAGGACCTTAGTTGTGCCATTAATTATTCCTCTGTAGACATCACAACTGTGAAAGCTAATTGCTTCTGATCCAGCCTCACTCTGCTGCTCAGGACATCTTTTTGAAAGGCAAACCCTATATTCTTACTCCTGCTTAAAACCCCTCCATGGCATTTCACTGCTCTTGGGAAAAAGACCGAAACCCTTAAGATGGCACATAGGTAATGAGGGATCTAGACAGCCCATCTGTCTCTTCATTCTGATCTCTCAACCTTTCCTCCTAATTCTTTAACTTTCAGCTACATTGGCCCTTAGGTCCCTGCGTGCATCCTGTGCCTTTTGCTTGTCTTTGCATCTGCTCTTCTCTCTGTGCAGAATGTTTTCCCCATCCCACCCCTGGCCCTGCCTTCTCCTGGCTAACTCCCATTTCCTCTTCAGATCTTAGTTCAAGTACCAGTTGCTCAAAAAAGTCATCCCGGAACTCCATCCCCATACCTCCAATCTATATTAGGGTTGCATGTTAAAGACCCTTGTAGCATCCTGTTCTTTGTATCACCTGGTAATATCTAGAGACTGTAAGCTCCATGAGGACAATGACAGTATTAGGTTTGCTGATTCCCACGTGTACTTTACATAGTACCTGGAATACAGAAGACTTTCAGTAATGTTTTTAATAAATATTTGTTGAATACATATTTATATATCGTGATCATTGTGCTATATTATCAAAGCAGTGATGAGTCTAAGAGCCAAGATTTGAGGATTTCAAGACTGTCAATTATTTGATGGTTTGTAATCAAGTGACCGCTTCTTCTCTAAGTAAAATTAGCTCTCTCGATTGAAAGGTTAAGAGATGAATAGCTGATCAATTTGCCAGTTGGTCTGACCTCCTCCAGGTTTTCACAGAGGCACTTGCCATTGAGGGGATGGGAGAGTTCAGTTAAAACAGGCTGCCTTTAACGGGCAGGGATAAAGAGCATTTTTGAAGAGACTTATCCTCTGTTCACATTTCCCATCCCTCTGAACAATGCTTCCAAAATAGGATCATGTCTGGTTTCAAGCCCAATTCAGTTCCAATGACACTACAACCCATTCATTTGAGAACCTGCCAACTGAACTCTCTTTTTTCTCCTCCCAAATTCCCGCTGGGTATTATTTCATTGCCACCAAAAAAAAAAAAAAAAAAGCCTGAGTTGAAGTGACAACTCCTTGTTGGGAGGGCAGCCAGGGCTTTCCGGCAGGAGGTGATGGCACTGCTTGCCCTCAGCCAGAAAACAAAACAAAGGCATCAGACTAAGGGCTTCTGGAGAGCCAGAGCTGTGCGAATGTTTGTTCAATATTCGGCAGCGGCACAGGGTGCCGCCTCCGAGTCAGATGGGCCTGCTTTGGCAATAGGCTTGCACTTGAAGCATTTAAAGGCTCCACAGGGACCAGAGGGGCTCAAATTAGAAACGTTAAGGGTGAGGGGGGAAGAGGGTGAGACTTTTATATCATAAAGAATGGCCTTTATTACAGCAATGGCCTCCCAGGAATTGCTGAAATGGGAATCATTTCTTAGGCGGAGTTAGTTACTGTCTCCTGTGGAGGAAGGCAATTGCTCTGAGGCCTGACTCCAGGACCCACACCAATATCCTTGACAAAGGGCAAGGAGCCAGCTGAAATGCCATCAGCAGGGCCTGTGCTTGTGCGTTGTGCAATCTGGACTTCTCGGCTGAACAGGCAAGGGCCAGCACCGTCAGTGCGCCCTTTATAAATAACAGCACGAACCTGAATCGGAGCCTGTGAGGATGAAGGAGGTTAAGCACTCAGTCAGTGTTGGCTGTTACTGTTTTGTTACTGCTGAGGTTGTTATAATAATTATTATTGCTGTTGTTGTTACA